AATTTCTACTACAGGTTGACATTTTTATTAAATTTAAAAATCCTGTAAATACATTTTGTGAGATACTTTACGCACATGTTTTTTTTGTTTTTTTTTCCCTCTGTGGGCTTTTCTGTTCTCTTCTTCCAAGTTGTTTCAGATGACATCCCAGTCTCTTAATGCTGTTTATCAATTTGATTTCTCGTCCTTTTTTCTTACTGTGCTTGTATACCTGTCTTCTGCTTCACTGTCTCTCAGTATCACATAACACCACATAATCATTGTCTCTAGATCCAAGTGCGAATATTTTGTCTTCTCTGTATTTGATATGGAGGCGTGTACTTTTCATGAAATGTATATTGTTGCTCTTACGGGACAGATGGATGGCGTGTACAGTCTGTCGTGTCTGTTTCTTCCTCACGAGAGATGTATTTACTACGTGTCCCTTTTGAACAATTGGTCCAACATGTCTTTTTGAAACAGAGGTATTTCTCTACACATCGAAACAGTTGTAGCAGTTTATACAATATGTTGTATAACGCCATTGTTTTTCTAAAAGTCCTCTCCAAGGTGAGACCTACAGCATACACTATGTACAATAGTCAAAATTCGATTAGTTTTAAGAAAAAGTGACGATAGAGATACTATATATGATCGATGCAATATGATTAAAGGTACTCATTGAGTTTGATCTTCAAACTTAGGTTATGTAATTTAAAAGCATTCTTGTGAAGTGAGTATTAATTGTGACTAATGAGAGTCTGTCCTGAATATTCTTTGTATTTTGCCGTATTGAGAATAAAATATATATGGATATGTTTAATGGAGTTGTATTTATTCAGTCTTTGGTGTCTTGAACAAAACAAAAAATGTTTGTGGGTGAAACATAATTTCTTTTACAGAGATGAACAAATTTAAAAGATGTTGAAATAAAATGGGAAACTTATAAAACCCAGAAAGAAGCAACTAAGTCAGTTGCAATCAGTTCTGTCTTATTGTTTGATTTGCCTTTGAGAAGCATATGACAACAATAAGTCAAAGGCCCAAATAAAGATGAATTTATGAATTTAGATTTACTTTGCAGCTGCTTTGAGGTGGAGCTGTCTCTTGACAGATGCGTGCAGAAACCCACAGCTATGCATTGTACTTCATAAACTCCTCTTGCTTTTGGTTTATTACAGCATCATGTGTGATGTACAGCACAGTCGGATGCTGTCAACTGTCCAGGCCTGTGAATCAATTGCCACCAAGTGGTCATGAGCTGCTGTGGTCCCTGCCGTCATCCCGTCAGTTTGGTGGTGCTCTGTTAATCTTTCTGTGCGTGAAGCGAAGGTATTCAAAGTAGTTTACATAGCTTTGCATTGCAGAGCCTCTTAGAAATGATTAGCTGCTTTCAATCCACATTCTGCTGCACCGAGAACATTAACTCTTAGGAGGACTTTCTCTCATTGTCGCCTTGCTTTTCCACATTTAATTTTTTTCTACATCAGGGTTTTATTTGTGGTTACCACAGTGAGCATTTCTTAGTCACAGTATCAATGTTTAATCAAAGTGCCAACTTGAACTACACTTCAGTTCAGTACAACATATGTACTCAAATACTGTTCCACTACAATTGTGAGACTTCTTTTTACTTCTACTCCTTTTCATTTCAGAGAGAAATACTGCAGAAAAAATGTATTAATACAAAGCATTGGTTTAATTAAACAACCCAGCAAAACATGAAGTAGTTAAATAAAGCTCCACCTTTAATTAAATAAAACATGATGGTACCAATTACACATTAACACAGATAATAGTGAACCAAAGATACCAATGGATAAATGAGACTATTTTTCACAGGGTACATTTACACAGGACTTCTACTTATTATGGAGTGGTATTTCTGTTAATACTCAGTAGTGCATTTGCTTGAGGACTGTATCCTAAGTATAATTTGGCGGTACTTGTACTTTACTTGAGTATTTTCTTTTCATGCCACAATACTACTTCTCTACATTTCAGTGGGAAGTAGTATTCTTTTTACTCTTTTATATTTATTCTTACAGCTTCATTGAGATACTTGCATGGAAAACATACAGACAGTTAATAGAAATGATGTCTTTTTTATACAGTAAATGACACAAATTCAAGTAGAGCTAAATTGATCAGTAATTATTAATGATAATTAACATTTAATCATTCTTCATGCAACACTGCAGCATTTTGTTAGTTGGAATAAACACTTTGGCTCTTTTCCATTTCAACAGGCGTTTCTCAACAGTTTCTGAATCGGTGCAAACCAAACAATAAGTTGATTAATCAGCTGATTATCCAATGCTGAAAATAATCACAAGAAGCAGGCCTATACGGAATGGTTTATCGTGATCTTTATTAAGCTTTGCTCAGCTTGGTTTTGCTGCGTTCATCTGCTTGACATACAATACCCCTACTCACACACTCCACCACTACTGACAATAACTCCTCCATTTATTCATCAGTGCTGCTCCCTTCTTCTCCATCAGACATTTTCTTATGTACAAATACTTTAAACATTGACACAGTAGAGTCTTTTATATTTAGAGCTTTACAATCTGTACAGGGAGAGACACCCTCTGTCCTGAGACCCTCAGTTCGAGTGAGGAAAACTTGCACACAAAAAAAACCCTTTAAACCGGGAAAAGAATGTGGAGGAAACCTCAGGGAGAGCCACAGAGGAGGGATCCCTCTCCCAGGACGGACAGACGTGCATTAGATATCACCTGTACAGAACAAAGCAACAGAAACATATTATATATCTATATATCTTTCTTTTTTTAGCTTGTGTAATATGTTTGAGCATGGCTAGAAGGGAGCCTGTGACCCAAGCATTTCAGTTTCAGTGACTGCTGTGTGTATTTGCTGTGCACATGAAACATAAAGTCTTGAATGTTGAATAAAACTTTACTTTTACGATGTTTCCTCTTTTTCTGACTCTGGTTGAGGGTTAAGGACTGAACCTTAGAAAACTAATTGTGATTTGTGAATATGAGCTTCACATATAAAATCCAGCTGACAGGTATAAGTACTTTTACTGCAGTAAATACCTGAAGTACTTGCTCCTGAGGAAACCTCACTGAGCAAAACAAGGCAGAGACAATTCCACCTCTCACCGACATCCTCCAATGGGATGTCGTGTTCGCCCCGAAGCTCCCGCCCCCCGCCGCGTCTGATTGGCCCGCGTGCTCGTCTGTCACCTCTTTCCGGGTGAGCTAAGCTAACAGCGAGCGGAGGAGAAGAAGGAGGAGGAGGAGGAGGAGGAGAGGGAGAGGAAAGCTCATTATTCCCGCAGCGACACACGCTCACTACCTGGTGAAAGTAAAGTCGTTTCCCACGTCAGGGGGGTTTTTCTACGGGTTTTATTCACTCGAGAAGCGGAAGCGAGGGACCAGAGCGGCTACACGTCCGGAAAGTGTCCGAGAACCAACAGGTAGGTGCGGGTGTTAGCAACAGGTGCACCCAGTATCGCTGCGGCGGCTCGGTTTCGGTTGTCAAACTGTCACCTTGTCCCCTGAGAGGAGGACACCCACAAGATGGCTGTGAGCGTGTTAGTGATGTGAAACCTCTTCTCCTCGCAGCCTCGCAGTGACTCCTCTGAGGAGGAAACTTCGCTCAGCTCGGTTGTGCCGGAGGAGCTAACGTTACACAGCAAATTCTCAATATCTGCCACCTCCTCCCGGTTTGTCCGACCGAGGTGTCGCTGTCTGACCGGGAAATGTTGAGGTAGTTTCACAGCATCATTAAATGTCCCGACGATTAATCGATTAATAACTTAGTCGACGCCATAAAAACGATTGTCCGCAGTGTTGGTCATCATTGGCAGATTCATCGAAAATGCCAATAAGTCTCAGTTCCAGCCCCAGGTGCGTTCTCGACTAATTTTTAGTAATAA